GGTCACACCCGGCGATGCACAGGGGTTACTCCTGGCTCTGCACTCAGGAGTTACTCCTGGTGGTGCTCGGGGGACCATATGGGATGCTGGGAATCGAACCCGGGTCTGCCGTGTGCAAGGCAAACGCCCTACCCATTGTGCTATCTCTCCAGCCCCTCATGAAGGTATTCTTATGAAGAGGTATTTGTGTATCCATTGTATCTCTGATAAGCTAAGCTTGGGTTCAAAGATATAACCAACTCTAATTCATTGAGATTAGGCCATGGATCATTCTAGAGTAGTTTTGTTTGAACATGTCCATTGTACGCTATGTTACACAGCATAGCATATAATACATGTATTCTTTAAATCTGAGATGTGATAATTCCCCTCTGAATTTTTTCACCCTCTGTTTGACAGTACGTCATTTCTGCTGCAATTTTTTTTTAATCCCTACATTTCACAGAGTTAGGTAGAGGTAACGGAATCCAAGTGAGTCCATTTCTGATAGTGCCATCCAGCATGTACTGAGAAAATGATTTAGTTGTGCTCCTTCCACCTCCAATCTCAGGTTTTTTTCCCCATAAAAGGACAGTGATATCCCAAGTGGCCCCTGTCTTCAGGAGCAGGAGGTGAAGGTCAAGTGAAAACTAGAGAAATCGGTTTCTAATGATTCTCGGGACAGAGAACAAAGTAGAACAAAGCGATGTAGGAATACGTGACTGGAGATACCTTAAAAGCATAGTTGGGATTTTACAAACCAAACCAGGGAAAGTGGCTGTTACTAAGAGGTTGTAATGAGTATATACCGTAGACATCTGTTGACTTAGATAACTGAATGTATGTCTTTCTTCTGAAAAGTGCCTGTTTTTCATCAAGAGGTTACTTAAACCCAGCCTTTATAGATCCAAGACATCACCATACACCCTCTCCAGTCAGGAGCTGTTGAGGGAAGAGCTGAATTTATACAAGCAGGGGTGCTCAGAGGATCTTTGCATTTTATTTATTCATTTATTTGATGGTACTGGGAATTAAACCCACATCACACATGGAATGCAAGTGCTCTACAACTCCATGCAGTGCAAGTGATCTACAATTCCATGCAGTGTAAGTGCTCTACAATTCCATGCATTGCAAGTGCTCTACCACATAACGTGATCCTTGTTCATGTGAGAAATTTTTGCCAAAAATTTGAATTTGTTTGTTTGTGGCCCCCACCCAGCTGTCCTCAGGGCTTGCTCCTGGCTTTGTTTTCGGGGGTCGTGCTTGGGGGACTCTGTGTGTTGCTGGGAATCGAACCAGGCTTGGCTTCATGCAAGGCCAGTACTTTAACCACTGTAATTCTCTCCCGGGCCCCAGGGACTTGAATTCTAAGCAGAGCAAACCAAAAAAAGGAGGCTGGTTTTGTGCTTCAGACTCCCCTTAGCAGAGATTATCCCTGTCCCCAAGTTTCTGTTCCTGTGGCCCCTGAGCTGCCTTGAGCATCATCTTTCCTGAGCTGGGGGGCTCAATTTCTCATTGGATTCCATGAGCCACCCCAGGGCATTGTAATGAACCCCCCCCCCCCCCCCCCAATTGACTTAGGTTAGCTAGAATCAGTTCTGTTAGGTTTGAGCCAAAGAGTTGCCTGCACGGGTGGAGGTTTAGAGATTAGAAAAGCCCCATGGGCAGCCCGTGAGCACTGTCATCCTGGAGACCTTGGGGGTGGGAGAGTTCTTGGGCCTGGGACACTTAGCCTCAGTTGACCCCATCAAAGCCACGTTTCTCAGAAGATTAAATGAGGGAGAGTGGCAGGGGAAGGAAAGGGTATTGGGGTGGGGGGCTTGGGGGGGGGGCGATGACGTAGCTTCTTTGACGAAGATTGCACTGAAGACAGGCCCACCTCATTCTTTAAATATGCCACAGGCCCTCACGTGCTGCTCTATCCATGGCTCAGGGTAGATTTTTAAAATTTTATCTTTAGTTTTCATATCTGGCAATGCTCAGGGGTTATTCCTGGCTTTTCAACCAGGAATTCCTTGGGGTGGGCTCGGGATGGAACTCAGGTTAGCTGCATATGAGACAAGAGCCTTACCAGCTATTCTATTGCTATAGACCAGCGATGGTTATTTTTGTTTTGTTTTGGGGCCGCACCCAGCAGTGCTCAGAGGTTACTCCTGGCTTCATTTTTGGGCATCACTCCTGGCAGGGCTCGAGGGACTATATGGGATGCCGGGAATTGGCCGAGTGCAAGGCCAATAACCGTACCCGCTGTTATCTTTCTGGCCCCAGAGATGGATTTTTTTTTTTTAGGACCCAGTATCTCCATGTTAGCAGGTCCATCAGGCATGTATGTGTGAGAGAAATCACGAGGCTTCCGCGAGAGCTGCAGGTGTCTCCTGCAGAGAACCGGGAACTCTGTGCCAGGTTAGGCAGGCTGTTGGGGGCAGTGGCATCTGACGGAGCCAGCCAGGGAAGTGGTGGAAGCGTTCGCACTCAAGGCCTGGGGTCCTGGAACCCTGGCAGGGTTCGCAGGGAGATCTGGGCTCATAGATCTGTAAGATCACCAGTGTGAGTGGCTGCCAGAACTTGCCAGTTGTCTTTAGAGACAGAAGCTCCGCTCCAAGGGACACTGATGCTGGACAGCTGGGCAGAGGCCAGGGAGAAGGGGCGTGTTTCAAACAGTGCCCAGGTGGCCTGCAAGCTGCAGAGGGAAGCTCAGAGGATGGGAGGAGCCAGGTCCCAGGAGGCATGAATGGAAGAAAAGTGAGACCCGAATGTGTGCATTCCTTGAGGCAAAGGAATGGACTTTGGTCGTGGTGGGAGGTCTTTCAGTGGAATGGCAGGGGTGGGAGTGAAGGGGCCCTGGGGAGGGGGACGGGGGGGGGGGGGGGGGGGCTTGACAGGGTGAAGGAGAGAGCTGTGAGCAAAGAGGACTGTGAGGTGGGTGGAGGGAGTTGTCCCCTAGCTTTGTTTTGTCTTGTTAATGACATTAATGGGAACAAGTCTGCGCGGAGTGCCTTAGGCAGACATTTCCTGATACCCAAGTATACGAGATACCCAAGTATATGAGATATGAGAAAACGAGATGTTCCTTCTGATCTGTGCATAAGCATTTCCGGAGTGGGCTTGTTCCGCCACACACTCTGTTATCACAAAGATGTGGCGCACCTGTGGAGGGGTTGCATGGGTTACCTGCTGCCGGTAAGTTTGGGTTTATATATTAAACTTTTACCAGCTGGCATTGCCTTCGAGATGGGCCTGCCCAGTGATGCTGTGGGCCTCCAGGGCTGTGCTGGATGGGAGGCCATGTGGTGGCGGGGGTTGAACTTGGGCAGGAAGGCCAGGCAGGCGTTCCTGACTTTCGAACCCTTTCCGTCTCCCTGGAAATGGATGTTAACACTTGGATCTGGTAGTCTGTACTGGGAGAAATGTCTCCAGTGCCCTCTGCATATTCCTTGTATGAGTGACAGCTACCCCAGGAGAGCAGACCCTCATTATTTACCAGAAACTAACCTCTATTAGTTTCTGTTGAAGATTACTCAGCGTTGCCTGTCCTGAGCCAGTGACTTCGTGACCATTGCACATTTCATGGACTTTCTGAGTTGCTCCTGTTAGTTGGTCAGTTACCATTAGGTCTTAAGTCATAGAAACCCACATGAAATAGTGTAAGTTTCAAAAACCCTAACATCGCCAAGCAAAGCCTGTTTGAAGTATGCACATGTTCATTTATTTGAACCATCTTTGACCTTTGCTTCTCCTGAAATAGTCATTTTACTTTCAAACAGATCAGCTGGATTCTTCTTGAGAGAGGGAGGGAGGGAGGGAGGGAGGGAGAGAGAGAGAGAGAGAGAGAGAGAGAGAGAGAGAGAGAGAGAGCGAGAGCGCTCCCAGAGATCCTGAGCATTATCCTTGGCTTTAGGATCTCAAGCGCTATCCTTGGCATCCCGATCATGGCCTTCCTGGGTCATACACGCAGCTCTCTCCCAGCCCCAGACCAAAGTGTCCAGAAGCACTGAGCTACTGGGACTGGCCCAGGTAGGAGACAGCCAGGGCATAGCGCTTTCCGCTGAGCTACCTGGTAGAGGTGCCTGAGTATGAGAATCACTGTGGAGGCAGAGGGGGTACTGCAGACGGCGCTTCAGATGCTTAGGGACTGTGCTGAGCCCAAACTCCAGTGCAGTCTCAGAACACAGGGATGGATTGTTTGGAAATGGGATTCAGGGGATGTTTTCTGGAAATGTCTGTTAGGGCACCTCTCTCCCAGAGGAGGGTATTCTAGTGGGTTATGACTCAGCTGTCACAGAGTTTGAGTAGTCTACCAGCTTGGCATTTTACAGTTAAATTCACCAGCACCAGCCTACTTGAGCCAGAAGAACCCAGTAGACATTTAGGAATTGAACCAAAGGGGTTCAGATGTTTGTGACACACGCTCTACCATGGGATATTACCCTCGACCATTCTCTGTGCAGAGGGCAGATTTAGTCTCCGATCAGAGCAAAATTGTCTTGCCCAGGATTCTGTACTTAGCCCGTACGTAGTGGTTTGGGATTTGGAATCAATAGTTCTGACCTAACATATTTTTCCCGTTACTGATCCTTAATAACCATACAATTTTAAAGGACTGTGAATTCTTGCCCAGTTCGAGGAATTGTTTTTGTCTGTACCTTTTAAATTCGTATTCCCGAATCAGTCATTCCTAATTTATTCAAGTTATGATTTTGCGGATTCCTCAAGTCACCATCAAGTCTTCTGTTCAGATGGCCTCGTCTAAATAACAAAATCATCCTCACTTTCTCTTAAGGCTGTTGTGACATCTTGTGATTTGATGTGCCATCAGGTTATGTTTGATGTTTTTGGTAGCCTAGAACCATTGGCTTTAAGTGTTTCCGAAGCCCCCCAAAGAATGATGTCACATTTTGCTTACTATGCTAATTCTCTAATTTTATTGATGAGAGAAAAAAAGCATATGAAAATAGAAATTTTAGAATTAAAAATGTATTTTTAACCTTAGCAATTCCTTCTGTTATTGTTTCTTGTAGATGAGAAGAAGCAGATGGTTGCAAATGTGGAGAAGCAGCTTGAAGAAGCAAAAGAGCTGGTAGGTGCGGCCTGGGGACCAGCCTGGGACTCATCCAGCCTGTGTCGCTCGCGTCTCCTGCTGGTCTTGTTTATCCAGTGTTTCAGCCATTTTTAAATTAAAGGCCCCCTGATGACCTTCTGAGATTCCCCCCCCCCTTGTTTTTCTCTTTTCTTTTTTGTTTTTGAGATTTTATTCTTCATAAAGGTCATTTGCTAAATCGTTAAAGAGTCATGAACCAGCCACCTCTAATTAGAAAATTATTATCCCTTCAGAACATTTCCCGTAATGGCTCTAGACTTGTTAAGGGCGAACTGGGAGCCGGGTGCTGAGTCACACACATTACTCGTTCGCTTGCATCGTGAGTCTCACAGGATCCCCGTGGGGCAGCTGCCGCTCTTCAGCCCCTGGCATGGATGGGAGCGAGCAGGCGTGCAGGCTGACCGGCCAGCGGACTCCAGCTTCATGGACCGCGGAGTCCTGGACTGTCTCTCCTGGTATAAGCAGGCCGAGGTTCTGTGGGGACTGCGGGGTGTCCGCTGACCTCTGCAGACGCCTCACAGAGGACACAGTGGGGTCTGCACCTCACTGCCTGACAGCTTGCCCACACGCCCCCTCCCTGAGGATTCCCCCACTGAACTGGCGCTCTGGGCCTGCTCCGCGAGCAAGACCCCTGAAGAGAGGCTCATCACTGCTCATAGCCCTGTTTCGTCGAAGGGGGAAACTGAGGCTTAGAAAGATGCAGTGACTAGGGACTGGAGTGATAGCACAGTGGGTAGGGCATTTGCCTTGCATACGGCCGATCCAGGTTCGATTCCCAGCATCCCATATGGTCCCCTGAGCACCTCCAGGGATAATTCCTGAGTGCAGAGCCGGGTGTGACCCCTGTGCATGGCCGGGTGTGATCCAAAAAGCAAAAAAAGAAAGAAAGATGCAGCAACTTGACTCAGGTTTCCTCACACCCAGTCAGCAGTGAATGTGGGTCTCTATAGGTTCAGCCCAGTGCTGTGGCTAATCCACTCGGGTTGGAGATAATGGATTTGCAGGGCAAGTTGCAGAGAGTGTCCTAAGGTGCTGCGTTGCTAAGTCCTGAGGTTACCACTTGCTGCATTTCCTCTCCACCCTCAGCAGCCGCTATTACTCTGGTCTGCGTAACCTAATTATTACCCAGCCACGGGCACTGTTCTAAGCACCTTAGAGGAATTACCTTATTTAAGCTTCACAACTGCCATACGAATGTGGCGCTATGTTTAGAAACCAGCACGATAAGCTAAGGGATCTCTCCAAGGGAGAAGCCCAGGGATCTCTCCGAGGGAGATGCCCAGGGATCTCCTCAAGGGACAAGCCCAGGGATCTCTCCGAAGGAGAAGCTTAGGGATCTCTCTAAGGGAGATACCCAGGGATCTCTTTAAGGGAGAAGTGCAGAGATCTCTCTCCAAAGGAGATGTGCAGAGGTCTTTCCAGGGCTGCAAGTGTAATCAGGTGGAATCTCCAGTGTGAGCGCGGGTGTCTGACTCGAAGGCCGTCCCTAGCATCCTCCTAGGCCTTCGTTGCTTCCCATTAAGTGTCTCTATGTCATATCCTGAGTGTGGTATAATGGCATGTTGATAAAAAGTGCCTGGCTGTGATTCCAGGCAACTTCATAGTTTACCATTTTACTATACTCATTTTACTTTACTTTTTTTTTTAAATATAGTTTATAATTGGCAAAACAGGATTCAATCTGGGGAGAAACACATCTTTATTGGGCATATATTAGGTATTGGCCAACCTAGCAAACGGACAGATCACTGAACTGCAAGTCAGAATGTGAACGTCCTTATTTGAAGCTATTTAAAACTATGGGAGGAGGTCCTTATGTGCCGGGGAACTGAAACAGCGAACTTAGGAATAGTAGAGAAATATTAGCAAATAAGCAGATGCTTCAGACTGGACTCATTTTAATCCCGGTCACTGTGACCACGAAGTGGAATGAGTTTGGCTGGGAGTCAAGCGCCCCTGTTGGTTGGTATGTGTCTTTCCGCATCAGAAAAGGCTTTTCAGATGTATTAGCGCCCTATATTTTGAAGGGCATCTCAGGAGTTACTGCTGTGTTTAGAGGCAGGGGACACCCTGGTGGTGCTCAGGGGACTGGGCAGTGCCAGGGGAGAGGCCCCAGGCTCCTACTTCCAAGCATGTATTAAGGGCAGGCTGGGAACCAGGTGCTGAGTCACACATGTCCTGTCACGTAGCCCTTTGAAGTATGTCTCTGGCCCCAGAATGAAATGATTTTCGAAATGATTTTCCTCCAAATTGGAGCTGACCTTTAGTGGATTAACGGTAGAAACAGTGGCTTGATTTATCTTCTCATGGTCCTGGTCGTCTGAAAGACTAAGTTGGGCTGCACAGTGAGATGGTCTTAGGTTACTGCTCTCCCATTTGCTCGAGTGGGCCCAGTAACGTCTCTATTTTGAGAATTGTTGTTACTGTCTTTGGCATATTGAATACACCACGGGGAGCTTGCCAGGCTCTGCTGTGTGGGCGAGATACTCTCGATAGCTTGCCGGGCTCTCTGAGAGGGGCGGAGGAATTGAATCGAACCCGGCTCAGCCCGACTGGCTGTGCGCAAGGCAAACACCCTACCGCTATGCTATCGATTAGGTTACTAAAGTCATTTATTGGAGATGTATGTTTTTATAGAAATTGACTTGTGTTTTAATAGAAATTGCTTTGTTGTTGTTTTGGTGTTTGGGGGCCACGCACGGCAGTGCACAGGCTACTCCTTGCTTGGTGCTCACTCAAGCTACCTATCTGTGCCAGGAGCCGAGCCCCAGTCTCCTGCGTTCGATGCAAGCGCTCTGGACCATGCAGCCATCTCCAGCCCCTTAATAGAAATCCGGAAGTAGTAACTGCTTTGGCCCTTGGTGCTTCCTGAAACTAGAGGCCCAGTGTTGTGAGACCAATGGCAGTTAGCCCCTAGCCTCTAGTGAAAAATAAGGAACGGGAATGAAATTCTTTTGCTCTTCGCGTCTGGTCAATTAAAGAGTCAGCACATGGTTTAAATCACACCTTTCATTCTCCCAGCTTGAGCAGATGGATTTGGAAGTCCGAGAGATACCACCCCAGAGTCGAGGCATGTACAGCAACAGGATGAGAAGCTACAAGCAAGAAATGGGAAAACTTGAAACAGATTTTGTGAGTCACATTTCACCCTTTGTGCAATTTACTGATCTTGACTTTTATTTTAGGCATGGGGGTGTGCAAACCTGTTAATACAGGGTGTCATGCACAAAACATTCCAGCACCACGCCCTCACCCGTGTTGCCATCCTCCCCTTGTCCCTGGTTCCTCCCTAACCCCAATCAGCTCTCAATGTCTCCTTGAGCTGTAAAATGAATTTTCACCTGCCTGCCATTCACCTCGATCAGCAGTAAATCCCAGGTCATGTGTTTTCTGCCTGGCAGATTTTTCTTAGCCACACTATTAGACATGGCAAGAAAATTGGATTGGTTTAAGACTTTGATGACTTAAGTTTATACTTTGAGTTTTCTAGTTAAAGTTAAATGTTTCAATATAAATGATGGGAATAAAGTTAACTATTTGTAAGAATTATTTTAGTTTGCTTGCCTCATCTTTCTAAATCACTGTTCCAAAGATTTTTTTTCTCTTGCTTGTTTCTAAAACAACTACGTGTAGCCATCGGCCAGGGCTACCATAACTCATTCCATCAGACAGACCTAGTGGTTCACATGACGGGGAGGTTTTAACAGATGGGAAGTTCACACCAGAGGAAGAGTGGCAGTTCATAAAGTCCAGGGATATTTGCTGTTGCATTTCCTTGTGTTAAGAATGAACAGATGTGGGGCTGGACCGTTAGCACAGCGGGGAGGGCGTTTGCCTTGCATGCGGCTGACCCAGGTTCGATTCCCAGCATCCCATATGGTTCCCCGAGCATCGCCAGGAGTGATTCCTGAGTGCATGAGCCAGGAGTCACCCCTGTGCATCACCGGGTGTGACCCAAAATAGCAAATAAATAAATAAATAAAAGAATCAACAGGTGAGACCAGCTCCCTCCATTACATTATGCAGGTGATAGAACTAAGCGGCTCAGGTAAAGACAGATCCTGTCCAGCACATCTCCTAGTGTGTCCCCTGCTGGGTACCCACTGTTGCCCTTTGTGCTTCCTCTGGGATCCTTGGTCCGTGCTCCTTGGGGCCCCGCAGGAGGCTGCCCTAAGCTAGCGGCTGCCCTAAGCTAGCGGCCGAGTGAGACCCCTGCCTAGACTCCAGAAGCTTCTTGGCGTGGCAACTGCCTCTTCGGCCTGCTAAGTGCCTGCTGGCCTCTGGCAGGCCCAGGTTCCACCTCTGCTCCTGCAGCCCAGGGTGTACTAGGCACCTCCCTCAGCCACTGGCTTCTGGAACATTCCTACCTGACCAGAACCTGGCAGTTCCTGGACTCGATTTCAAGTATTTTTTTTTGCTCCAAGATTGAAATCTGGTGCTGTCTGCCATTGGTTTCCAAAGGCAAATTGCTTTGTGCGTTTTGTCCATTTTTTATAGTTGTTCAAAGTGCGCATGTTTGTCTTGTATCAGTTCCTGTATCACTGTCACTGTCCCTGTCCTCCCATTGTTCATCAATTTGCTCGAGCGGGCCCAGTAACGTCTCCATTGTGACACTTGTTACTGTGTTTGGCATATCGAATACGTCACGGGGAGCTTGCCAGGCTTTGTCGTGCAGGCAAAGTACTCTCGGTAGCTTGCCCGGCTCTCCGAGAGGGGTGGAGGAATCGAAACTGGGTCGGCCGAGTTGGCTGCCTACAAGGCATACGCTGTACCTGCTGTGCTATCGCTCCAGCCCCTCTGTAATGACTGGAAATCAAAGTTTAGTTTTAATGAACTTATAAATCTTCAGTGTTGGTCATTACTAACTTGAGAGATTGCACATGTGGGGGAGCACAGGTCCCCGGTTCGATCACTGCCATGGCGAGGACCCACACCCTGGGGAGTGCCCTTGGCATTCTTCAGTCCCCTCATTGGAGGTGACCGCCTATGCAATAATGGAAATCAAAGCAATAACAATACTAACAGATGTGGGGAGAGTTTTACTGGATTTGTTGTATGCATCTGAAAATAAGATAGTTGTTTGAAGTTGCAGGCATCTGTCTAGACTCTGATTTGTAATGTTAAAATCCAGGTTAGAATTTGTAATTTTCATGGGGTGGGAGGAGGGAGGGTTCAGGGAAGTCATTAATGTGTCATTAATGTGTTCCCTTTCCTGCACTGCCACTCACTCCTTTCCCATCTCCTTGAGTTGGCACCTTTTCTACTCTGTCTCCCATATTAGAGCAGGAACAGGAGGAGCAGGAGACCAGTTGACCGGCCTGAAAGTTCCCCTGCTCTGACGGCCAGGACCAGAACAGTGTGAGCTCAGGACCGTTCTAATGGCTCTCCAGTATTCCTTTCAATTCCCCACCCCCAATCTAAATTTCCATAAAAATCAACATAATGGTTCTCTGTTTTATTTGAAATTATGTTATATATTGTGCACACACATATATGTACATATATATGTATTTAGTTTGGGGGCCACATCTGGTAGTGTTTGGAGCTGACTTCTGGCTCTGTGCTCAGAGATCACTCTTGATGGGCTTGGGGGAATGGGATCCAGAGATTGAACCTGGGCCAGCCGCGTGCAAGGCAAACACCCTACCCACTGTGCTGTCTCTTCAGCTGGAAATATATATGTTTTTTTGGTTTGTTTGTTTGTTTTCTTTTTGGGTCACACCCTGTATTCTGCAGGGATGGTGAATTACCTGCCTTGCGCATCTGAGAGTGTACTGGGATGCTGGCGCCATCTTGTGGCAGATCTATATACTTGTATATTCCTTTTTTTTTTTTTTTTTTTCCGTTCTTTCTTCCAAAGCAGAAACTTCCAAGTCCTGTACAGGATTGGAGGTGGCGAATTAGATTGGAAAGAATGTTAGAAGTAGAACTTTGTAGCCCCCAACCCAAGGTTACTTCTGTCCCAGGTCAGTGGTGCCTGAGTACCGTCCTTGTCCGTTTGGCAGGCTGTGTGATGCATTTGTTGAGCTGGCGCCCAGGGCCATCTGTCTCCATCAGAGAAGGGTACTTCATTGCCCATCTCAGCAGTGCAGTATGGCGGGCCTAGAGACCCAACTCCCTGCACAATACTGGAGTTGGTCCCATCCGTCAGGGCTCAAGGGAGGCTGCAGAACAGCTCCAAGCCTTCTCTACTGTTCCCTGGATTCTCTCTTCTCAAGTGACATGCAACTTGTGTATCCAAGCTTGCGAGCCCAGGCAGTGCCCTTATCCTGCGGCTTTGGTTTTTCTAGAGTCTTAGATAGATTAGTGAAGGCCCATGTGAAGCATGAGCTTGTTAATTAATTTTATTTATTTTTCTTTAATTAAGAAGCTGTGGTTTCCAAAGTTATTAATAGGTGAGCCTTCGTCATACAGTATTCTACACCAATACACCAATCCCACCACCAGTGTTGGCTTCCCTCTACCAAGTGTTCCCAGAAACATGAGTTCTTTGCATTTTTTAATTTTTTGTCAGAAGGTCAAGATCTTGATGTTTATATTTATGTTTTCTTTTCTGTTGATATGACTTCCTGGGAGTTTTCACTTCTGTCCCGGGGAAGCTGTCAAAAGCCATAAAAAACGTGTTCTAGAGATTCTGACTGTATTATTGCTGTAATAATAATTATAGCATCTAGCATCTCCTTCCTGCAGAAGCATAAGTGTATTCTTGGAGGAAATTAGAATGCCAGAGCAGATAGGACCACCCCAGAAAAGAAAATTCCCTCCATAATAAATACATTTGCCATTTAAGAAAAATTACGTTTGTGGTCTGAGTCTCTGTAAAAATTCTGTACCTGCTCATTATGGAAGATTCTAAATATAAATACTAGAGAAAAAAAATCTCAGCTCTCTTGGCTCTTTTACTGTGTGTAAAAAATAAATCCACATTTTACATTTTGATTTGTTTCCTTCCAATCTTGCCTTCCCCTCTCCCTTTCCCTTGCATAATTTATTGTTTTATTTTACATAATCATGTTGTTATTCAATCCACATTTCCCCCCTCTCATTTTGAAACACAAAATCCTAACATTGTTATTTCCCCTTTCTATAAATTCTTAATCATTTTAATGGGTGCATACTATTTCAAAGATGCTAGTTCACCTTTTGTTGAATCATAATCTATTTCCACTTGACCCCTGCATAATTTATCATTTAGCAATTGTGGCAATTAACATATTTGAGCACCGTTATTTCATCAGGGTCATTTCTCAGGTCTCAGATGATCAAGTCAAAGGACATTGACACTTTTACAACTTATTAAAATATATCCGGACTTACAGTTTTGTTGTGATGCCTTTAATTGCTTTCGTTATTCCTTCTCTCTATTTTGTCTGGGTTAAAATGTGATTTTGATATAAAAGTGACGGGCAGAACATTATATGTCACTCACATTCAGTCCACAAGCAGTAGTGTGAGAGGGACAGTATTATGAGTTATTATGGGGGGGGGGTATCGCATCTGTCGCATTAATGCAACTTAGATTCTGCACCCTCCCCTCCCAAGTTTTTGTCCAAGTGGTTCATGTTCTTGAACCATTTACAGCATCTAGGAGAGGCTTATTAATATTGGTAAAGCTCGAAGATGCGTATGGTTATTAATTACTGGTTGGAATATCTCTTAGTCCCAAACGGGGCTATCTGAGTTATTTGGGTTTTTGATTTTTTTTTTTTAAGTGGTAGTCAGAGTAACTTGTTCACTATAGTCTTAACCTTCATGATCCTACTGCACCTCAGCGCCATCAAGGTGACCCCAATGCCCTCTTTTAGTTAGCTAGGATTGTAACCCTGAAGGAGAAATGTAATGCTGTATTTTCTTGTATGCATATGGTTTTCTCTGTGTGCAGTTTTTTTTTTCCTCAAAAAGCTGCTTTTCCCAAGACCCTACTCTGTAAAATTATGAGAAAATTGTCATGCATTTTGTTTCCTTTGTAAAATTCTCATTGCAGACTTTGACCTTGCTAAGTGTTTGGCTCACAGAGCCTCCAGTAATTTCAAGGACTAACACAGGAACTGGACCCCTGGAGAGGGAAGAGAACAAAAGTCTATTTTCAGCTGTGGTCATGCCTTTGGGGGGTCGATCTTTGCTCGTGTGTC